TTAGGAATGGGAAGGGCAGCTATGAAATAATTAGAAAAGCTACTGATAAATAAAGATATACCACCAAGGACAAAAATTAGAATCATCTAAGCCATAGTATTCCCCATCACCATGTATGGATGTGAGAGCTGGACAGTAAAGGAAGCAGATAGAAGGAAAATTAACTCATTTGAAATGTGATCTTGGAGAAGACTGCTTAAGATACTGTGGACAACCAAAAAGATAAACAGATGGGTCTGGGAACAGATAAAGCCAGAGATCTCATTAGAAGCCAAAATGATTACATTGAGGCTGATGTAGTTTGGCCATATAATGAGAAGACATGGATCACTGGAAAAGACAATAATGCTAGGAAAGGTAGAGAATAGAAGAAGTGCCAGATGTATGAACTTAATTGGGCATGGGCTTGCAGAAACTAAGCAGAAAAATGGAAGATAGGAGTTCTTGGAGGTGTCTCATTCACAAGGTTGCCATGAGATGAAGTGACATCAGGGCACACAACAACAACAACAACAGCAAGCCCTATCTCCATGTACTGAATGAATGCAGAGAGTGACTTGGAGAGCAATGTCAGTTGCTATTTCTGCAAGTTGCTGGCGTGCTGTCTTGTTGACTGACTCTTTCATTTTCATGAGAAAAGAGGTTGATACTCTCCCCATCAGTGCCAATTCCTGTAGCCCATTTTGGCTAGTGCTGATTAGAATAATGATCACTTCATTCCTTATATGTCGAACTGTACATTTCATGTGGTAGTGTCATAATGAGCAAGTATGCAGTTTCTTGTACGCTTCCACCTTCTTCAGACAAGGGATGAGGTTTACTGAAAATGTGTTCAAATGGATGTCTCTCAACAGTATTCTGCTAAGAGTGATGCCACACTTGAACCCTTTTCTCCCGGGTAAGGTACCTTAGAGCTTCAACAACTCATCTATCTTTTATTCTAATGGTTTCTCCTCAACTGATTCAAATTTATGCTCGTTACCTTGAGCAATATTGCCTTTTTTACTCCCCAGCTTCAGGGCCAACTCAGATATTATATTAATGAAAATCCATGCACATGCTTTTTAGGAGAGAGAGAATAGCAGGAGACAGTTGTGGTTCATAAGCAGATGTTCTAACTACAGTATTCACTTTAGTCTTTAGGATTCTTTGTGAAAGAGGAGTGTATGACAACAATCCTTTGAAAAAAGGTGTGCATGTATGACAACAACCTTCCTTATAGTGATAGCATTTTGTTTACTGCTGAAAGAGGCTGGTGAACAATTTGTTGTTGTTGCTGCTGCTGCAGTGTTCCTTCAAGTTGTTTCCAACGTATGATAACCCTAAGATAAACCTATCATGAGTTTTTCTGGGGCTGAGAATGTGTGACCATGCAAGGTCACCAAGTGGGTTTCTGTGGCAAAGTGGGGAATCAAACCCATAGTCCAATGTTCAAACCATTATCATATACCATGTTGGTTCTCATGAATTAATCATTTGTGTTTATAAAACAGGTTTAATACATGCTAAGAAATTCAGGCTATATCACTCTTCACTGTTGATCCTCTGTCAGCCTGGCAGCAATTTATATATGCTTTTAATTTATATATGCTGCTGTTTTTACAGCCGTTCTGAAGACAACACTAGGCACTATGCTAGAACAGCACTTTTCTAGCTTTTAAAAAAAATTAATGATGTGACTGTTTCATCTTTTTTAAAAAAACCTTCTAAAAGATAGCTGCTTATTATAAAATAATATTTAAGAGTATTAATATGTAAAATTGTTTTCTGATAGGAAAGAAGTGCCCCAGAAAGCATTGTCAGCATTTCTGGACAATGCATTGAATACTAAACCTGTCAGAAGCTCTGAAACTCTGACAGATCATTTTGTGCAAAGCACTTTGTTTTTGACAGAAAGGTCTGTTTTTTTCAGCCTTGCATCCCTGCTTCACTGAACAAGGGATGCTGTTATGTTTGACTAAGTTCATTTTTGAGTCTCCAGGGGTCACAACCCAGAAAACGGAGTGACAAAGGGCCATCAATCAACACTAGATGACTCCATGCTCAGGATCTGAATTCTTCAAACTATGCTGAATACATGACACTCACAATTTAACCTGAGGAATTGAAATATTTTAATATCTTTGACAGCCTGAAGCTGTAATCAAGAATTCAGTCATTTCTGACAATCTTGTTAAATTGTTAGTTCCCAAAGCAGCAGGGTGCTGGATGGGCATGTAAGCAATAGTGCACCTTTTAAGGGAGCTTGTTTCTTTTCAGAAATCTCTTATTCCATCCTGTTTGATGAAGTACAAAAAATGTTCCAGAGATTTATTGGAGAGACATGTCAGAAATTAATCAGTCCCATTTGCAATCTTCAGTCATGATAAAAAGTTGCAGTGGACTCAGGCATAGAGTATTTGTGTCTTTAGCTAATACATGTATTAAACTTATGCAAATATTAACACAATATATCTATATTTTTTAAAAAAGTTGTGTGTTGAGGTGTCATCTTAATCAAAATGCTTGCTGTAGTCATGATGAAGATTGATTTTCTGCCATTTTTTAGCCAACATGGCTAGCTTTCTTTCTAAAGGAAAACTGTATTTCTTGTCTTAGCTCTTTACTATATTTATAGTTAAAGTTGTAATTTATCCTAAACACATGTATTAGGGAGGAAGCCCCATTGAACATACAGGAACTTGCTTCTGAGTAAATAGGCATAGGATTTTACTGTACATGACTCAATATTGTTACAGACACCCTCCATATCTATGGATTCTCCATCCACGGATTCAATCATCCATAGCTTTAATATATATATATTTTAAAAACCCATCCTCAAAGACACACAATTTTACTTCCCTATTGTATATAATGAGACATGAACATTCATGGATTTTGGAATCCACAGGAGGTCTTGGAACAAAACCCTAATGATATCAAGGGCGCACTGTAATCAGCACAGGATATTTTATTGAAGGGAAAAAAATTCCTTACATCTGTCTGAAAGCAGGGTGGGTTAAGCTAAAAAATAAAGCAAGGCAGAGGTACACTAGTTGCTTTTTTATCTGCTTCTCCGTCTCACTTTGCCAAAGTCACAATTTTGGTGACAACTTCATGTTGGTGTGTGGATGATGAGTGTTGTAGTGATGCCCTCTGGCACCCAGCAGAGTCTGCAGGACAAGCTGGCTGCTGTGATCCACAGCCACTGTGTAGATTTGCCATGAACTGGCTCAGCTTCTCTTCTCCAGGCAATCCTGTCTTCCTCAGTCAAGAAGACACATTGTAAAGTCCAAAAACATAGCTTTATTAATGCATATAAAAAGTAAAAATAAGAAAACTAAGTAAAATCCATTGTGATGAACTTGTCCAGTTCAGCCATACAAGATTACATCTTTAACAATCCCAAAAAACATTAGGATCCAACTTGTTACAGTTAAAACAGTTCAGCCACACATGCTCACATCTTAAACAATAAACAATTCTTAGACAAAAGATTTTCTAGGCCCATCCCATACTCCACCTTCTAGGTGTTAACTTTATGTTAATTGGATAATGTCTGTATGATGTATGCTAACCCAGCCTCTTGCTGTCCATCATCCACCACGTGAGTAACTTTCCCAAGCTAACGATGTTTACAAAAACCATAATATAAACAATACCTCTTTCCCACAGAATGGAGTCCTGTTAGCCTCCTGTTTTGGCTAAATCACACCTGGGCTGATAACTATGAATCTAGCTCTCAGAAAAACAACTTTTCACAGCATGGAAAAATACAGACACACATCTTTTACATTTCAACATTTTAACATTGACTCTATATCCCATCTATATCCTAACACTTCATGTGTTTTTCAAATTCTTTAGTCAGTTAGAGAAACTCATACTATATATTATATAGAGATACATGCAAAAATACTCTCTTGTATAGTTTGACTTGGAATCAGTGCTGTATTTGCACAATAAATCTGAAAGTTGCCATTGCTCCATTTCAATGCACCTTGCACTTTTCCTCTTGCTTGGTGCCAGAACATCAGCAGAGGGCGCACAAGCTAATGAAGAGAAGCAGCCAGTTTCAGATCTCCTTGTAATCAGAAGACTAAAAAGATAAGTTCTGTTATGTTATCTAAGGATTGACAGGTATCTCTTATTATAAAGGATGTATCTTATCTTAGGACCAGAAAGCTTGCTGCTTATAGGACTGGCAGGTGTCCCTTATTATAAGCCTCCCACTCCATTTGAGGGTTGGAAAGCTTTTCCTTTTATATGAACAAAATGCCTAAAAATCCCATATTTGAGGGTGTGGACCTTTCATAAATATAGGAATGTGTGCATCATGTAATTTATGAATGTGAACAATGTGTTAGTTTTACAGAGAACACATAGCTATGTTAACTAAATTCAATACTTTTGGTATTTAGGTAGAATACAGACTTGTTAACAGCTATTTCTTGATTGCCCCCCCCCCACTGCTATTTTGAAAACTGGTGATTTAGAAGAAATAAAATTCAGTAGTATGTTTTTAGGGATAAATATTGTGTGAATACACTTGAAGATGTCCAGTTTTGTTAATTCAATGAGATCTAGCAAAACAAAGGATAGCCATAAAATGTCAGGAGTCTCCTCATGTGCTAATTGATTAACATGGTCAGTGCAAAGGTCTTTCCTGAAGAAATGTAAAAGCTGATTTTCTACTGTGAAATTTACAGTTGTTTCAAGGAATCTTTTGGCAGTTCATTTACATCAATGATGGGAAACTTTTCAAGACTAAGGAACAAATTCTGTTGCAGAAAAGTGATCAGGGACCACATTCCAAGGGCCAGGGACCAAAAACTGGAATACAAATCGTTGTTGTTGTTGTTGTGTGCATTTAAGTCATTTCTGATATATGGTGACCTAAAGTGACCCTATCATGAGGTTTTCTTGCCATGTTTCTTTAGAGGGTCTTTGCCATTGCCATTGCCATCCTCTGAGGCTGAGAGCATATAACTTGCCCATGGCCACTCACTGGATTTCCATGGTCGAGCAGGGATTCGAACCCTGCTCTCCAAAGTCATAGTCCAACACGCAAACCACTACACCACATTGTCACTCACAGAATCCAAATTATGAGTGTATCTCTTTCCAAGCCAGTATCTAGGCCTTCAGAGAGGCATTTCAGTCTTTCAAAATGGGGGAAGAACCTATAAGAAAGTTAACCACCCAAACCAATATAATAGGAAATGGAGCGTGACCATTTGGCGAATCCCAGAAGGCTCGCTTGGGACCAGGGAAGGGCAGGATTTGGCTATGGGAAACGAGATACCTCATCATGGTTTATACACATCCCTAGTCCTTGTGCAGCCTCTATACCAATACACCAGTATGAAACATTCATGGATTTCCATTGTATATCCTGTATTTAATGTAA